GTTCAGGCTGGCCTTGGCTCACTTTGTAGCCCAGGCTGGTCTCAAACTTGCAAATAATTCTCCTGCCTCAGCCTCCCAAGTGCTGAGATTACAGGAGTGTGCCACCATGCCTGGCTTTTCAGTAATGTTTATTAAAGCATCCATTAGTAACATAGTCTCTTAACTCTAGGACAAGACTGACAGTATGTTTCATAGGGTTGCTGTAAGTCTTCATTTTGACCCCCGACTTTTGTTGAGAGAGGGCCTCACAATGTAGTTCAGGCTGGCCTCAAACTCTCAGTGATCCTTCTGCCTCCGCCTTCCCAGTGTCAAGATTCCAGGCAGGTGTTACCATGCCCAGGTACAGAAATATTAAATGAGTAACATCAAATGCTTAGAATATTGATTCTAAAGTACTCAGTAAGTATTCACATATTGTTCGTCTTTAAACTGTCACTTTTATGGGCCACAGTTTGACACATATCAGCAGCTTTATAGTACCTCAATTTATTTTCAGAGAAAGCAACAGGAAAAAGACAATCATTGGCAATATGTTTACTTGAGCTCCTCTGGCCTTCAGGATTACACTTATTCTTTCCGTGGTTTAATGCTTTATTTCCCACTCTGAGAACAAAACCTCTTGAAGTAGCTTGCTAAAATTTGTCCCAAAGTGGCAGCCTCACATCAGCAAGGAGTTGGCTGAAGCCCAGATATTCTCTCACCAAGTGTGTCCTAAAGAATGCCAGGTCCTTTACTGGCTTCCCAAACTTCACGAAAGTAACATTTTCTTGCTATTTTTTTTTTTCTTCTTCTTATTTTTTTAAAGACAGGCTCTCATTAGTCTGGCAGGCTTCAATTTGCTATGTATCGCCTGCCTTGCAAGCAGGCAGTCGTGAGTTCGATCCCCGGTACCGATAAAAAGGAAAAAGACAGAAAAAAAAAAAAAATGCTGTGTATCCCTGGCTGGCCTCGAACTCCCAGCAATCCTCCTGCCTCACCTTCCTGGGTGCTGGCATTACAGGTGTGTGTGTCACTATACCCAGCTTCTTTTGCTATTTTAAAAATATTTTGAAATGTCAGCCATGTCTCAGAATATAAAATTATCATTGAATATAGTTTTGTTCCATCATTCTACTCTGATTTATGCAAGAATGTATTAGCTGGTGGGGTGTGTGTATGCATGCCTGTAATCCCAGCACTCTGCAGACTGAGGCAGGAGGCTTGCTGGGAGTTGGAAGCCAGTCTGGGCTCCATAGTGAGACCATCTCAAAGAGACCAAAAGGATGAAAAATATTAGTGAAAAGTTGTATTTAGAGCAACCCTTTATGTGAAGTTCAGTGACACTTAACTGGATTCAACTGACAACTGACCATTAAAGGATATGGACATTTGTGACAAACCCTACGGACACAAATACCCATTTGATGTGGGATTTAGCTCCGTGGTACAATCGCCTGCCTGGCAAGCATGAGGTTGTGAGTTTGATCCCCAGGACCAAGAAATAAAAAACAAACAAACAAACAAAAAAACCCAAATACCCATTTGAGTTACTCTTTAAGCTTCCTTAGTGGGTTTGACTGCTTATTTATTGCAGTACCCAGGGCCTTTGCATTGAACTCAGCCCTTTTAAACAAAATTTATTTTTGACATTATTTTCCTGTGTATTTATGTAAATTAGCTCATTTCCAAACATAAAATACAGAGACACATTAAAGAGCAGTTGGTTCCCACCCAGGGTCTCGCCTGTGATCAGGCGCAGCAGCACTAGGAGCTCGGGCTGCCTAGTCACTGCTTCCCAGGGGAGGACATTCTCTCAGCAGCGCAAAACATATTTAAAACACGGCTTCTGTCCAAGGAATGGGCAGTGTAACATGTAAGTTTATATCCAGAAACAAGAGACGTTTTAACAATAAAGAATCAAGGCTCAGGCAGATGGGAGTAAAAGCCACAGTGTGCTCTGGAGGAGGGTCAAGTTTAGGGTTCATGGATGCTCCCCAAAGGAAGCTCAGGCTCCAGACAAATGGAGGTTTATGGAAACACTATTTTTTTTTTTTTGCAGTACTAGGAATTGAACCCAGAGTTTTTGCATTGAGCTACATCCCCAGTCCATTTATTTATTTATTCATTATTTTATTATAGGATAAATCTTGCTATGTACTTCAGGCTGACCTTGAACTCACTATGTAGCCCAAGGTGGCCTTCAACTCACAGCAATCCTCCTGCCTCAGCCTTCCAAGTGCTGGGATTACAGGTGTGTGCCGCCACACTCGGTTGAAACACATTTAAAGCAGTGGTGGCAGAAGATGAGGAACTTGCGCACCCCTTTGACATGAATTACTTTGAACTTCAAATTTATCTTGTAAAACCCTTATTTAGGAAAACGGTTCTTACTCTGATTTCACAGGAAGTAACTGGCCCAGGTTACCCAGTTCTTCGAAATCTTCCCAGCCGTACATAACCTGGACACCACCCTGGCTGCTTCACAGGGAACAAGGCAACTGAGTTCAGTCCTGCTGGTCTGCGTGTGGTGATCCAGCCAAGGAATACTGGTGGACACATCAACGATGGCTCGAGGGCCAGGGCAGCTAAGTGACCCCCTGGGGCGGCTGTCAATATCCCCAGGAAAATCCTCACACCACGATGAGAAATGTCTGGAACTGTCACAGAGCATTGGTCCGGTGCTTTTCTCTTGTCTTGTCATTGCCTCCCGAGTGCTAGGATTAGAGGTGTCCACCTACACGCCCAGCTTTCCCACGGTCTCTTCTGTGACTCGACTTTCTCACTTGTCTTCAGGGCCCCCTAACTGTCTACCCTGGCTCTGGGACCGCAATCTCACACCCTTGCCAACCGGCTGTGCTGTAGTACCACACATCACCAGCAGATGTCGCAGTCTCAACACTCGACAGAGCCACTTTCAAATTTACTAAGGCGCCAACCGGCAGCCATTCAGTGCCAGCTGTATACTTGTTGGGCGCTTAGCAAAGCGCTGCAGGTGAACCCCGCATGTGTCGGTTCATCTGGTAAAGGCGTTGCCGTGGGGATTAAATTCGAATTACTTTGAACGACGACAGGATTGTGGCGTGTCGTTATTAACAGGCGGGGATGAGGTGGTACATACTGGTCTAAACTAGGGCCCTGCGCCCGCGTGGCTCCATATCGCAAGCGTCGCAGCGCGGAAGTGAAGTCCCGGACTTGCCTTTCGGGATCCTTGCTCTTTACCTGTCCTTCCCCTAAGGTGGTACGGCACACCTGGGACTGGAATCTGGCTCCCCTCCACTTGGGCAAAGGGGTGGTGGTTGGGGGTCGGCGAGGTGGCTCTGTCATCTGCTTCCTGCAACTTGCAGAAGGCCGGTCCTTCCGGGGGTGCCTCGGGACGGAGGGGCGCAGGAGGTCGCGCTCCTAGGGCCGACAGTCAGAATGAAGTTCCCTCCCGGGCCTTCTGGGCGTGCGCATTTGTCTCCTACCCACCTGCCCCCCAAAGCCAGCCCTCCCCAGGCTCCCGCCCCCGCCCCCGCAATCTCCCGCCCTCCCCACCCCCAGGTTTCCCGCGCCCGGCTCGGCGGCGAAACGCGCGGACTCGGCTCTCCATGCACGAGCCGGGGCGGGCTCTCGGCAGAACCTGGGGCTGCGTCCCCACGCGCCGGCACCTGCCCGGGAACCTGCGCCCCGAGCGTACGGCGGCCACGGGGTTCTGCGCCCGGCTGCACGTGGCGCCCGGGCCCTAGGAGGAGCCACGTGCTGCTCAGGCCCCACGCGCGGGAGCTGCGCGTTGCAGGGCGCGGCGGGGCGGCTCCGCCAGGTCGCACGCCCGAGGCTCCCGCTCGGGACGCGCACCGCGAGGCGGCGCGCCGGTCGCCCCGGGCCGCGGGGGGCGGGGCCCCGCATTGTTCCTCCCAGAGCGCCGGACCCTCCCCTTCCAGCCCGGGCGCGGCGCGGGGCCGCCGGAGCCGCGGAACGTGGGCCCGCGCCCCGCCTTTGTCTCCCGGGCGCGAGCAGCCGCAGCCCGGCGCCCGCCGCTCGCTGCCGGAGCAGCTTTGTGCCGCGGCGCGGGGGACCCGGACGCGGGGCGCGGAGCCGGTGGGCACAGCCTCGGCATGGACGTGACGGTCTCGGAGCTCATGGAGCTCTTTCTGCAGAGCCCTCTGGTGACCTGGGTGAGTGCGCCCCGCTCCCTGCCGCTTTGTTGGTGCCCCGGGCTGGGGGCTGCAGCGACGCAGCAAGTGGCTCCCGGCGCGAGTCGGGGTCCGGGTCCTCCCCAGGCTTCCGGACCTCCGAGCCCGCACCTCTGCTCCGCGCCCGGCGCCGAACCGGGCGCGCTCACGCCGGCCTGGAGCGGATCGGGGACACCTGCTCCCGCCTGTGCTGGGCCGGCGGCCCTGCCACAGGGTCCGAGTGGTCTCCGCAGTTCTCAGGGCTGGAACCACTTCCCGGAGGGACTGTTCTCCCCAGCTGCACTCGTGGAGTTGCTGAACCCCAAAAACCAACCGGTGGGTGGCAGTGACGGGGAATGAGGGACCGAGTGAGAACAGGAGCAGGCCGGGTGGGCGCCCTGCTTTCCTGTGGATCTAGACGTGAGAAATTTATTAAAAAGTCACTTTTATTTATTTATTTTTTGCTCCGGAACGCTGGCGAAAAAGCAGCCAGGAAGTTTTCCTCCTCCGGCTTGGCGTCCGTTGCCTCGCGCGGGGAGGGGCAGAGGCCCAGGCTGGAGGGTGGGCTTGGTGCCCGCTGAAGGGCGCAGCGGGTGCGGGGAACCCTTTCTGCCACCTGCGGCCCCAGCCCGCCTTTGCCTGGGCGCCCTGAGGCCGTTTGCGCCGCTGGGTGACCTCCCGTCTCTCTCCTCTTTTCACCTCCCTGCAGGTGAAAACTTTTGGCTCCTTCGGAAGCGGCCACCAGGACAACTTGACTATGTACATGGATTTAGTAGATGGCATCTTTCTGAACCAAATTATGCTGCAAATGTAAGTTGCCTGCCTCAGAGCCGAGGGGAAGCATGGTGCTTTAGGAAATTAAAAGTGGAAATGTCGGGGCCAGGACAGAGGGAGTCCTGCAGGTTCACACTGCGGTGCTTTTGCGACTCTTGGGTGTGTATAGACCTTCAGAACTGCAGCCTAGCTAGCCGCGTGTTTATTGCAGGAAGTTTGGAATGGACTGTCATCCACATGGTGTGGACAGTGCCCCTGACTTCAGACTCAATGCAATTGTGGCCTGAGCAGTGAAGTGCAAAAGCCGCTTTTGGGAGTGGGGGTGTCACAGAAGTGTAACAGAGAGTGTCTGGTTACAGGAAGTGTCGCAGATGGGCCCAGAGCATTGAAGGGTGACTGAAGTTTCACTCTAAATTAGGTGCTGGTGCTTCTGAGTGGCCTTACCTTTCCTTTTCCAGTTTCTTCAGAGCCAGTGCAGTGGGTCCTCTTATGAACTGGGTTTAAAGTCGCTGTTAAATTAGCAGGGGATGCAGGGAGGCCGTCGCTGGGGTACTGTTTGGAAATGGATGGTTTAAGCAGGGTGTCAATAGAAGTTGTGCTTGTTAGCATATAGTTGTGTCTGCCACATACTCTGGGGGTCCTCTTGGTGGAGCCCGTCCTTCTGTCTGACAGCCCACCCCCACCTAGGTGTTGGCTTCCACCTACGCATTCTGTTTTTAACTCAGAAACTGCAAGGAACATAGCGCACCTGAGAGTCAGTGAGGCCTTGAGGCAGAATAAAGCATCCTGATGGTCTCTCTGTGGCTCTCTGTGGTCTCTGTGGCTCAGGCTCCACCTTCACTCACTGTCCTGCGATGGGGACATTGTTGTACTTGAGCACCAATCCATTAGCTGATTGTGGCCAGCAAAGGAGAGGGAGCAGTTTGCTTTGGTGGATTGAGAAATGATTTAATAAATTCTATGCTAAAAGGTCTGTTTGAAGAAGTTTTCTCCTTTTGTTTTTGTAAGTCATTTGGTGTTGCACAGTGGGAGAAAATCTGCCATCTTAAAAGTTGTTTTTTGGGGGCTGGGGATTTAGCTCAGCGGCATAAGCACCTGCCTTGCAAGCAGGTGGTCATGAGTTCAATCCCCGGTACCAATAAAAAGAGAGAAAAAAAAAAAAGTTGTTTTTTTTTTAAAAGGCATTGCTGATTTTACCAACCTTCAGTGTTGGGCTAGAAAAATCTATTGTGAGCCCTGGTAGTGCTTCTCAGAGAATGCTAATGAAAGGGAGTTTTCCCAAGGCTGTGTTGAGGCTGGCTCAAGCCTTGGCATCCCCCATGCCTGACTGCTGGACTCCCAGCATTGCTAGACCCCAGCATTACTGGGTTCCGTGGTGCACCAGTCAGGGAAACTTCAACCTGTCCTTCTCCAAGCCCAAGCCTGTTTAATTAAGGAACCTGGCAGCTTGCAGGGATCAGAGGAGAACAAGAGCCCCCGGACAGTTTCTCTTTCTTCTCTGACCTTTGGAATTCTGGAGTGGTTGCCACTTGCTTGTAAATCAGGAAAGCCTGTTGGACCTCTCCTTTGAGAAATGCCAGCTCATCGTTTGTTTGCATTTGGCCCGAGGCTAAATGCAGGTGAAGGGCCTCAGTGCTCCCCTGAGATAAGGCTGCTCCCTGGGAGAAGCCAAGGGGATGTGCTGAAAGTGGAAACTTGTGACTCACGCTGGCCTGACTGTCCAGGTCCGGCACAAGAAGGGAACCGGAGGAGAGGACACATGGCCTGTGGATCCAGGAGAGCGGAGAGAGGTGGGCACGGGCTCCCCATGGGCCTGGTTTCTGTGGGGTTAGAGTAACCCGGCTCCAGGTAGCAGGTGGAGAAACAGTGTTTGCCTCTGGAAGTGGGTGGAGATTGCTATGACGCAGGCACCAGGCGTAGTGGAGAGGGTCTGTGGAGTGTGATTCACATCTGAACTCTTCAAGCCTTAACTTACATTAAGATAACACACATTTCGTGTTTGTGAGTTGGGTTATGTCAATTAGAAGACAAATAGGGAGCCCGGCATGGTGGTGCCTGCACACCCATAATCCCAGTACTCTTGGGAGGCTGAAGCAGGATAATTTAGTGAGAGCCTGTCTTAAAAAATGAAATGGGCTAGATATGTGGTCCTGGTGAAGACCCTGGTTTCAATCTCCATCACAGCAAAAAGAAAAAAATGGAACTGTGTAGGGGCAAGGGTTTGGCTCAGTAGTAGAATATTCACTTTGTAAGTGCAAGATCCTGGATAAGAAAACCAGCAAAAAAAAAAAAAAAAAAAAAGTCAATAAAGAAGAGAACCCAGGAAAAAAAAAAGAGAACCCAGGCCATAGCATTGGACAGCCTAGGTCACCAGCCTGAGTTTGAACCTTATGTCTACCCACTATGGCATTGGACCTATCGCTCAGTGCCTCGGTTTCCTCATTTGTAAAATGGGAAATGAAGATCTTCCTTAAAGACATGGTTGTGTGGGCTGGTGTGATATACACACTAGAAATCCCAGCTGAGGTCAGCTCATTCAAGGTCAGCCTGGGCAGCTTAGTGAGACCTTGTCTCAAAAAAGTAAAAGAGAGGGCTGGAGACTTAGCTCAAGGTCTGCTTGGCAAGCTCAAGGTCAAGAGTTCAATCCCCAATACCAAAAAAATTTAAAGAAAGAGAATGGGCTGGAGGTACAGTTCAGGGGGTGGAGTGCGTGCCTAGCATGTGCAGGACACGGGATTTGCACTGAAAACAGATAGTTGTGCAGATTAAATGAGGTGATGTGCTAGCTTTTAGCACAGTGCTTGGTGCTTAACGGATCTTGGGATCAGTGACTTGGTAGGTGCCATTGGACTCCAGAAGAGATTTGAAGCTCACGGTAGGAGTCTGTCCCCCCCCCCCCCAAGTTGACCTTTCCTCCCTGTTCTTAGTTCCCTAAATTATTGCATAACCCTCAGCAGCAGCCTCCTACCGGATGGGGTCCAGGTGCCCAAGTCCTAGCCCCACACCTCTCCGACTGTGTCCTTCTATTAGGAGCAAGCAGATCATCACGCTGCTGTGCTGCGCCAGGGCCCTGTTCTGATCAGTTCCCCAGGTTGGAAGGCAAGGAAGCAGCAGGGCGGTGTCAGTGCTGGTTGTGCCTGGGTGCTGGGCCGCTGGGCGCTGGGTGGCAGGGCAGAGATAAGAGTCTGTTACCTAACACTTGGGAGCCATCTGGAGGCTACCTGGGTCATGTGACTGCACCTGCCCATTGTCTCTGGCAACCCTAGAAGGCTGTGGTAGTCCTCCCTTGGCCCTGGCCTCCTGGTGACATCAGCACCACCTGGAAGCAGGAAAGCCCTGTGGGCTCAGCTTTCAAGGGAGGCTCAGGTCTAGGATTCCTGAATGAGCCTGTAGCCCTGGATGCAGAGGCTGGGAGCCTACTCAGCTGGGCCTCTGTGAGTGAGTGCAGGCTCTCTGATGTCTGTTGGACGCATTTTCTGGTCTTCCGGGAACTGTTTAAGGGCCTTGACCCTAGTGCCAGGCTAACAGATTCACCTCTTTACTCCACCACTTAGCATCCCTCTCTCCAAGCCTCGATTTCCTGATCTGCAGTAAGGGGATGGAATGTTGTGGCTTTGAGGAGAGCGAAGTATGACGATGCAGATAGAAAATGTTATCAGGGTCCACCAAGGGAGGCCCAGAGCTGGGTGTGTGTGTGTTCATTCTTGGGAGCTGGGCTGGGAGCTTGTGCTCTTAGGAAGCTGGTGGTTTGGCCAGCCTGGTTCTGTGCAGGCTTCTTTCTGACTTCTGGTACTGGCTGCAAAATTCAGGCTGACATACTAATTATTCAGAGGTTGAAAGCATCCTCAGGTGAATAGGAGATTGTCTTCAGCTTCTAAAACACATTTGAAGGATAATTTCCCTCATATCCTCCAGGAGGAGTTTATGTTCCCATTTAACAGATACAGATACTGCAGATGAGAAGGCAAATATCTAAAGACTGAGGAACATTACCAGTGAGGAACATTACCAGTAACCCTGGCACTCTGGGAAGCAGAGGCAGGAGACTTGTAAGTTAGAGACTGGCCTGAGTTTAGCAATTTGGTAAGATCCTGTCTCAAAAAAAGAAAAAAAAGAGGTACAAAGAGGTTTAACCCCCCCCCAAATAAAAATGAAACATTAAAGGGCACATACCTGTTGGTTGAATGAATTTGCCCTGGTGCAAAATGGAACAAAACTTTTTGTTGTTGTTTTGCAAATTTAAGTCATTTTTCCTGTCTGTCCCTCCTCCCACCCACTCTTTGCATGCCAGGGATTGAACCTAGGGCCTTGTGCATGCTAGGCAAGTGCTGTGCCACTGAACTACATCCCTAGCCCAATGATTTCTTTTTTTTGATTGTAGCATGTATCATACTGCATAGGGACTTTGAGTTCTAAAAGTTTCATGTTCAAGTCAGGTGTGGTGCTCCATGCCTGTCACCCCAGCAGTTAGGGAGGCAGAAGCAGGAGGATTGCGAGCTCCAGCCCAGCCTGAGCAATTCAGTGAGGCCCTGTCTCATATATTTATTTTTCAAAATTTAAAAATATTAGAAAGGCTGGAGATACAGCTCAGTGTAGAAGCCGTGGGTTCACCCACCAGTGCTCCCTATCCCCTTTTTCATGTTCATTTACAGAATGCAAAAATTCAGACGAGAATTATAAAAATAGCTTGTAATTTTGTGATGTAAAGGTAAAAAGTGTTTTTTTGTGGTTGCTGTTTGGGATTTTTTTTGGTACATGAGATTGAACTCATGACCTCATGCTTGCCAAACAGGCACTTACACCACTGAGCTAAACCCCCAGACCCACGTGTTATTTTTTTTTCCCATACTGGGGATCAAACTCATGACCTTGCACTTGCCAGGCAGGCTCTTGTGCCCCTGAGCTAAATCCCTGGCCAATGTAACAGTGTTAATATTCTGGTTTGTGTATGGTATACATTGATATATGTCCTGATGTATTTTTATACAGATTCATATTACTGTTTCCTAGCAACTTTTTTTTTTTTTTAAAACTGTGGCTATTTCTTCTCTGTGTGGCAATACACAGTTCCCTTGATTTAGTTTGAAGGTTTGGAATGTGACCACATGTTGAAGTCTGGCCCTCCCAAAGAAGAGGGATGAGGTTACAAAATTCTGACTCGCTTGACATTCTAGTAGGAGCCAGGCATGGTCATGCATACCTGCAACCCCAGCACTCTGGAGGCCGAGACAGGAGGATTGCTTCAACTTCTAGGCCAGCCAGGGCCAGATAGTGAGTTTGGGGCTAGGCTGCACTACAAACTGAGACTCTGTCTCAAAAAACAAGCAGAACAAAACTGTAGCAGGAGTAAATATACTTTTTTCCACTCAGAAGTTTTGATGCAAAGGAAGCCCTGGAAGCCCCATGGTTTGTACTTGGGACTCTCCAGCTTTGCCCCAGCTGCCACATGCACCTGCCTGTCTCCTGCCCTCTGAGGTTCTGATGTGAGACCAGGGCTTCTATGACCTGGGACAAAGATGGTTGTTCTTAACAAGAACTTGGGGACAGTGCTCGTACAGCGAACAGAACAGGAAAAGGCCGAGCTGGCTAATGTAGCACCTTTCAGGGCTGGCAGATCCGGAGTCTGTTTGCAGATCCCACACTGAGGCCCAGAGCACTCTGCCCAGTCTAGGAGCCAGGGTTGAAATCTGTACCCCGCTGGCTCCCCTTTCCTGCAGCACAGAGAGGTAGGGGTTTGGGGCTGCTGGGTGCGGTGGGGGTGGAGCTGCACCTTCCTTGCCTGATGTCAGGACTGTTTTGACGTGTTCCCTAATGCCCTCTCTTTACCTGGGGAGCCTTAGTTAAGTGAGGGGGTACTAGTGATCGTAGTAATTGGTGTAATTAGTCATACAGCAGTGCCAGGGCTCTTGTGGAGCGATGCTTCAGTTCTCTGTCTCCCTAGAACTGGGCAGAACAAAAGCAGGGACCGTCAGAGGTGTCCATGCTGTGATAGAAGGGACACATGTGTACACAGGGCCTTTGCATATAAGTGGATGTGTACAGGAAGCCCTGGCTTCAGGCCTCTGCTACTTTTGAGGTGCCCCTGTCTGACTTACGTGACATCTGGAACTGCACTGACAGTAAAACAGAAAAAACCTTTGCCATGCCTCTTAGGTTCTGCTTTACTAAACCATGCATTTATCATTGCAGAGTTAACTTCTTGTCTCTTGAGGTAGCTACAGTCAAGGGATAAGACCTACACCCGTGGGCTGGGGATACGGCTCAGTGGCACAGTACCTGCCTGGCAAGTGTGAGGTCCTGAGTTCAATTCCCAGTACCAAAAAAAACCCCACCAAAGCTACACCTTTAAGAAAAATGATTTTGTAATGCTAGAAACACCTCTGCAGCAAAAAATGCCCCCATGGTTTAAATTCTGAATACCATGTCTTTTCCTAAGTGAATTTTACTGGAATGGTAAACCTTTATTTTCTCAGTAATGAGTAACACAGAGCATGGGAATGGCTTGGCCGTCAGACTCCATTAACTGTGTGGGGACAGTAAGAAATGTTGTCACCTGACAGTTGAAAAGAGCTCCTCTGGTTGCCCCAAGGGATCCATAGGACTGTTTTAGGGGGCATAAGATGACTGAACAAGTCTGTGGCTGGTTGTTCTGCGTGAAAGGGTTTGCATGCTGATGGCACTGCCTGGAGACTCACAGTGTGGAAGCGAAATATTTACTTAAAGGTTGAACGTTAACACCCTCGTTAGCATCATGTTTCCAACATCATCTGGAATTGTTTGGATGTGTAGGTTTGTTGTTCTGTTTCTCAGCTTTCTGTTAATGTGGGCAGCTGAGTGGCATGGAGATTTATTTCCTTGCTTCCCCACTGCAGCCCCAGGAGGCCCTGCACCTTCACTGCAGGGCTTAGATGACAGATGAAACCTGGAAGACAGGCCTGCGCCCCCCTTGGGGTGTCTTGGAAGGAAGAGGCTGGGAGGCTGGCCTTTGTCATGAAAAGCAGCTGCAGCTCAGGCCGCTGGCTGCGGGGAGCTAACCGGGCTCCCCTAAGTGCTCTTGTCTCAGAACCAGCTCCCAACACTGAGGATTTTGAGAAAACTCCCTGCATATGGATGAGTGAAACCGTAAATCCCTTGCTGGAGACTTCTGGTCTCATCACAGCCAGACCTGTCTTTTACCTGAGGTTGGAAGATCAGCGACACTTCCAGGTCTCCCTGCATAATGCCTTTGCTTTCCTTAAGGTTTCTTATGGGGTGCATTGTGCACAGTAGAGTGTCGCAGACTGAGTGTGCCCAGTTTTCATGGTGGAATCGTGTCACTGCAATGTAAATCGTTGGCAGGACCAGCTCAAGACCAGTGTAGATAGAAAGGGTGACCTGTTTGAGGTGGAACAGCATGACTATTATTATCTTTTTAATATTCCACGTACATTGCTCTTTATTGTGAAGTATGTTCTCTGGTGGTTCTGTATAGCCTGGCATGTGGTCTGCAGTGCCAGGGATCTCCCCGCCACTGGGGCTATGAGAGTGGACAGAGGCAGCATTGATCAGGACAGTGGTGGGCCAGGTGCCCAGTGTGGGAGGAGAACAGTGACTGGCTCCCCCACCTCAGGTTAGGAGTGGACTTAGCCACACTGTCACAGCCTTAGAGTTGACGGGACAAGTGAGGCTCTTGGGACCGGAGGGCTGAATTTTCATTCACCTGTTTCTTCCCCAGAGATCCCAGGCCTACCAACCAGCGCATCAATAAGCATGTCAACAACGATGTGAACCTTCGCATTCAGAACCTGACCATCCTGGTGCGGAACATTAAGACCTATTACCAGGTAAGGTGTCCTGCCTTCCCCAGGGTCCCAGTACGAGGCCCTGTGGAAGCAGTGTGTGCGGTCAGACAGCAGCTCCCCCATGTTGACGCTGGCTGGACCCCTTTCCTGAGCTTCATGTGTGGTGGGCTATTGCATGGCTTCCCCTGCTCAGCCAGCATTCTCTGAGCTGTGGGAAGGGTTGTGCCATGTGGCGCAAGGACCCAGAGAGCCTAATGGATTGCGTCCCCTGTGAGGCAGTGGGGGCTCTGAAAGCAGTTTCCTGTCTACGGGCCTGGCTCAGTGACTCTCATACAAGTGAAGAAAAGCAGGGACCAGAGCAGGACTGTCCGGATGTCACCGCCTCTGAGTGTGTGCCCGAGGGTCAGCCACCAGCAGGCCTGCAGGAAAGGGCAGATTGCGCCCATTCAGTGGTGCACAGTTTTTGTGTGCCCAGCATGGAAGGGGTCTGGACTGCAGCTGTGACACTTCCCCCCATATGATTTTTTTTTGGAGATCCCAGTTCTGGTCACTGTGATTATTTTGGGGCTGGGAGACCTGAGTGCTCTTTTCTCTCCAGTACTCTGGGGAGTACTGTTTGAGGATCACTGCTCAAGAACAAAAACTGAGCAGGGTGTGAACATGAGGGGTGGAAAGTCAGCGAGGGTGATGGCGCATGCCCATAATCCCAGCTGCTCAGGAAGCTGAGGCAGGAGGATTACAAGTTTAGGTTAGCCCAGGCTAATTAGCAAGATCCTGTCTCAAAAAAACCCCTCAAAAACCAAACCAAAACAAAAAAAAACGCTCCTAGCCCAGCAGTAAAGCGCTGGCATCGTGTACAGGGCTGGCCCTGTCCCAGGTGAGGCTGAGAGGAGGTGGTGTCTGCAAGATGGCAGCAAGGGAGGTAGGCAGACGTGAGGGTCTGACCTTTCTGTTTGTCATGCGGAGGTGCCAGGCTCTTCCCGCAGCACTTGGGCTGTGAGGATATCATCCTTGGGTCCTGCTGGCCCATAGGCCTCTTGTGTTGGTGATCAGCAGCTTGAGGGGCTAGGTCTCGCTTGGCCGAAGGACCTGACACCCACTTGTGGTAGTGTTAGTTCGGAGGGGAGCACCTCTCGTGGGTGTCCTCACCCTCACACATCGCTGTGTGGTGTTCCGAAGGATGAGAAGTGATGGCTGGTCCAAATGACTTCCTAGAGCGCTTGGGGAGAGGGAAGGGGACCCAGCACCCTTGGGGACTCCCTCTGGCCTCTTAGCTCTTGGAGGTGGGGCTGTTGTGTGTTGGTAGCCTCACCCTGGAATAGAATGGAGCGTGTAGACACTTGGTGGGAGCTCTGCTGCTGGCCACCAAGTGGTCACTGCCTTCATGCCCTGCTCGCTTGGATACGTCCAGGGCAGGCACTGAACCTGTGTGGTGTCCTGCTGCATAGTTTCCCCTTCTGTTTGATGGTAAAGTTCAGTTCTCACCATGGAATGATGCAAGCTTGTTATCACCAGCCTGGAAAACAGGCGGTCAGTTAATAGCTCCCAGCAGCCACTCCCAGGACCCCGCAGCACATTTCATTCCCAAGATACCGTCTCACTTAAGTTGCTTAAGGTCTTGCAAATTTGCTTGGATGTGTACTCAGTTGTCCGGGCTGGGCTCAAGCTTATAATTCTCCTGCTTCATCCTCCTAGAGTGCTGTGTGCCACCATGCCCAGCTGGAGCAGTGGTTTTTGAAGTGTTCTAGATCAGCAGCATCTTTACTGTTGAGACTGGGTTAGAAATGCCAGTGAGTGGGCCTCTCCCTACACCTGCTGGGTCAGTTTTACAAAGCCTCCTGGTGACCATAAAGTACCTTTGGCCAGAACTGCCTGGTCAGTTTCCAGAGTGGTTTTAGGGTCTTCTGCAGCCCCCTCCCAGGACAGGAGAAGCTTGGTTCTTCCAGGTGACTCTTGTTTGTCACAGGTAGCTCTGCCCTCACACACATCTCATCAGCTCACAGGGCGGACGGCAGAGTCCTGGCAGCTGTTGTGATGAGAGCCGGAAAGGACTCAGTGATGGGGGGAGCAGGGCAGGTTGGGCAGGGCCGTGGAGCGGGAGGCTTCCCCTTAGCACGGGCTGGCTCCTGTACATGAGAGTTCTATCTGGAGACTCGTGCATGCTCAGTTTAAAAAATGAAAAGCTTTTGTCAGAAGTAGGAATAGAAGGAAGTGTACATTTGACATGGGTAGTGGGAACAGTATGGAGAGCTTGCACAGTTCTGTGTTGTTTTTGTGGTCATGGGGGTTTAAAGTTGTATGTGTGTGTGTGCACATGCACACGTGAGCAGCTTTGTGCTTAGGAGCCGTGTGCAAAGGGACCAAGCGTCCAGCAGGCCATCACTGCAGATTCAAGTCAAACTTACTTCATAAGTAACACGTGGTGTTGAATTTGCAGAGGAAAAGATTACCTTCTCCACTTTGGACTTTGAAGGTTAGAGAAGAGGCCTTGATTCTATAGCTAAGGTTCATATTCAAAGGAAATTACAAATAGTATTTTCGATTGTAAAGCTCTTCTTTTGCCGCAGCTTCTGAAATATAAAGGAAATTAACTGCACCCGTTGTCTTGGCAGCGAGGGTGCCGTTGTTGAGATTTTGAGCCCAATGCTTTTCGCTCCTCCAGAGGGTGGGTCTCATCTCTTGGTGCAACTTGCTTTTATCTTTCATGTATTTGTGCATTTTCCTGTGGTGTTAAATGCTCTTCTACCGAGTGAATTGCAGTGTCTGTATGATGCTTTGTCATGTAGCTGTGTTATTATCATTAATACTGAGTTATTTTTGCTTCAGAATTATGAACAATATCACCATGAACATACTTGATACACAAGTGTTTCAGCAGATGGTTTTCAGTTCCTCAGGGTGAGATCCTGGTGGGAAGTTCCTCGGTCAAAGGGCATGAATACTTTGAGGACTTTTGCTCTGGACTCCCCCTACTGCTGGGTTTGTAGGCCTTTCTTTTTCCTGGGTGAATGGCCCCATTGTGCCCTTTGCCCACTGTGGCTGTATTTAAGATGCTGTGCTTTCTGTTGCTTTTGGACACTGGAGATTTCTGTCTCCAGCACCAGCGAAGTCGCCACCTGAGATGTTTTCTGTTTGTTTTCGTGAACCCCAGGCCTCCTGCGTGCTAGGTGAATGCTCTTCCGGTGAGCTACAGCACAGCCCCTGAGAACATTTGTGCATTTGTCTGAGTGGACTTCCTTTGCGTTGAGAAGCTTGGAATGCTGTTTTGGACTTGTGCTAGAACAGGGTTGTGGAGGGGTGAAGGTCACAGGTCATGGCAGGCAGAGCAGGAGCTGGCTGGGGCAGGTGGGCCAGGCCCAGGGACTGGGTTCCATCCTGTGCGAATCTGTGGACCTGGCAGGCAACCGCCTCTGTGGCTTTGGTGTGAATGCTGTGGTCAGTTACAGCTTAAGAGCACCATGAGGAAGTGGGCCCTTCATGTCCCCATTCTTGCCCCGTTCTCCCACTAGTGTACAGAATGATAAAATGGGGGTGAGGAGGCTCTGGCGGCCCAGAGGTGAGTGTGACCTGAGGACCACCTGGTAAGACTGTTGTCCATGGCTGAGCTGCTCCCAACTAGCGGGGTGAAAGAGAGGCAGGTACACAAATGCCTGCACAGGGCGTCACATGGTCGCCAGATGTAGGCCAGGGAAGGGCTGAGGACCCTGGAGAGCTCTAAGGGTGACACTTGGCCTGGTCTTGAAGAGCTGGGCTGGCAGAGAGGATGTCTGCAGCAGAGCAGACACCTGACGGCCTTGGGAACGTGGTGCAGCCTGTAGGCTGGGGAGTCAGTGAGGGGTGAGGGCAGGGCACCCCGAGGCAATGCACTTGCATGCTGCTGGAGAACCTGATCCTCATCCCAATGGGCTCAGGGTCTCTGGAGGTTTTTTTATTGTTCTTAGGATTGGACCAAAGGCCTTTGTGCACTAAATGGGTACAGTACTACTGAACTACGTCTGTAGCCCTGAAGAATTTATATTACAGGTTTTATTTATATTTATTTTTTACTTTGAGATAGAGCCTTGCTATGTTGTCCAGGCTACCCTCAAACTTGAGATCTTTTACCTCAGCTTTCCGAGTAGCTGGGTTAGAGGTTTGTGCAGCTACAACGCCTAGCTTAGGAGAACTTGGAGAAGGGAAAGTTTAAGAGAAAACTTTGGGCCAGGATTGGTAAGGAGAGGCGAGTCAGGGCAGCTCGTAGTAGCCTGGACTAAGGCAAGAGCAGCAGAGAGACCCAGACGAGTTTGAGTTCTGAGGCTTCCGTGGTGGATGGCAAGCCAGGGAGTTTGGGGTGAGGCACTCTGGGTGCTGATGCTGCTCCCTGCCAGGGCTGGGGCTCTATCTGAGGAGGCTGAGCAGGCTGGCGTGGTTTCAGACATGTTGGGCAAATGGCCTGTGGTCTGCAGAGCAGGGCTGCTGGGGGTGCAGACCTGAGAGTCGCAGCTGGGGTTTTATGGGGTGTGGGTGGAGGACTGCCTGTGGCTGAGGAGGTGGCAGCACCTCCAGGGTCAGCGTGCTGGCCGTCAGGTTGGCTTTCCCAGGTGGGAGGTCAGGAGAGGATGGAGTCCAGTAGGGACAGGAGAAGGATTTGTGGATAGGGAGAGAGTCCCAGAAGGGCAGGGCTAGGGTACAGGGCCACCGGCCTGGCAGACTCCCTCAGCCGTGGGCCTTGGGCAGCACCTGCTTTTCGTCCCATGTTGTGCCTCCAGTGAGTCTCATGGGAGACTGAAAGGCTGCCACAATCTGCTCACTCCAGGCATCAGGGTAGGCCGGATGGGACTGGGGGACTGGAGCTCAGATTAGCCACGCAGAGGCCAGCTAGTGCTGCTGAGGTTTGACAGCTTTTGGGGCCACTAGTGCTCCCTTTTCTGCACTTGAAAACAGTTGTCTCAGGGGGCTGGGGATTTAGCTCAGTGGCATAAGTGCCTGCCTTGCAAGCAGGCAGTCGTGAGTTCGATCCCTGGTACCGATAAAAAAAGAAAAAGACAAAAAAAAGAAAAAAG